AAGGGATGGACACTGGGAGGAGGTAACTATGGGGAGGAAGTGGGAGGGGAGCTGCTGCATTGTAAATTTTGGTCAATGACATGAGACAAGGTATATGTGAACTGCTGTGTGAAAAGTGAATTTACTCTGTAAATCTTCACCCAAATCCTAATAAAAAAAAAAAAAAGCTTATAAGCAGCCATCTAGATGCAACGATGGGTCTCTCCTCTTCTAGAGCAAAGAAGAATGAAGAAAACCAAAATGCACGGAAACAATTAGTCCAAGCGACTGGTACACCATGCGATCCTCAGCCTATATGAGTATAAGACCAGAAGAACTAGATGGTGCTCAGCTACCACTGTCAACCACTTGGAGGGAGATCTCTGTAGGAGAACCTGGATAGAGTGGGAGAACAATGTGGAACAAAACCCAAAATCATCATAAAAAAAAAAAAGGACCAGGTTTGCTGGTCTGATAGCGCCTGATGGAACCATTGAGACTGTGGCCCCTAGCTGCCCTTCAGGTCTGGAAATGTACCTGCACCTGTGGCTTCCAGCCAAACAAAAGACAGGCATATGGGGTGAACAGTTACATTAGGTAGATACACTCCTTGGAGAGAACAATCATGGGAGAATAGAAGGGCTGTGTATGCACAGGGAGACAGCTCAGAGGGCAGGAGTGCATGGGAGGGAAGGACACAAGGAAAAGATAACTATGGGGAGGAAGTGGGAGGAGAGATATTGAATTGTGGTAAATTGTAATCAATGACATGAGACAAAGTGTATGTGAGCTGCTGTACGGAAAGTGAATTTGGTCTGTAAACTTTCACCCAAATCACAACCAAAAAACAAAAGAGTTGTGAGGTCATTGGAGACCATGAAGTCCCACTGAGGCCCAGGGTAGGGACTTGCCCAAAGTCACCCAGCAAGTTGGTGTTTCACTGGGACTATGGCCCTGTCTCCAGAATGTGCTGGGTGACATGGTGAAGGCTCTTACGTGGATTATATCAATTTACACCTCACGACAATTCCACTTGTATAGGTACTATTACCTTCTCCAAGGAGCTCTGGTGGTTTAGGGATTTGGGTGCTAACAACAACAAAAGCACAGGTCAGTGGTTCAAACTCACCAGCTGCTTCACAAAGAAAGATGAGGCAGCCTGCTTCTGTAAAAATTTATAGCCTCGGAAACCCAGTGGGTGTTGCTATGAGTTGGAATCGACTTGATGGCAGTGAGTTGTTTTTTGTTTTCTCATCCCTATTTTATAGAGGAAAAAATTGTGGTACCAGGTCCCATAGCAAATGGCTGCTTTGAAATTTGAATCCACTGGTGACCCCCTCTTCTTAAATTTAGTTCTTGATTCCCGCCTCCCCTCAATACCTGTTCCTCATCTCCAGGTCCTGCACTGTTCTCCAACCTGGGAGAAAACAGTTCAAAGCATAGGGGAAGTCAGCTCCCTGCAATCACAGCAGGAGAGACCTCAGCTGGCCACAAAGAAGAACTTCCTGCTGGCCTGCTGGGGCCAGGAAATGCTTTTTGCAACTTCAGCCTTGGGGAATGTTAAGCAGGAAAGAGACCATTGTGATTCCCCTGGGGACCTTGAGAGATGGTCAGAGATGGCCAACCCCTAGACAGGAAGCTTTCTCCGGCTATTGTCTGAATAAGGTTTCCCAGAAATCACAATATTCTCCAACGGCACAGAAACACTGGCATCTAGAAGCCCAGGATTTCTGCACTGAGAAAGGACCCGAGGTCTTCCCGGCCGGTAGGACCCCTGTTAGCAGTGACCACTGTGGCAGCGGGGCAGGTAGCTGGTCATAACTGACATTTCCAGAGTCCACAGTCCCGCTGAGGCCACCCTGAGCTGACTTCAACCCAGGGAGCTGGGTCTCAGAGAGGGACCGGCAGCATAAGACCACACAGTAGGTCTGGCAGAGCTGGGCCACAGTTCCCCCTGCTCATCTCTGCCTGGTCCTCCCATGTGCCTCTCCAAATTCCCTCAGCCCTTCTTGGGAGTTATAGTGGACTTGACCCAAGAGCCAGCTGGGACCCTGGGTCCAGCAGCATCAGTGCAGGGACATCCTCTGTTGTACAAATCCCTCTCTGGAGTCCTAGAACAATGCTGCCACTGTGTGTGTCCAGGGGGTGGGAAAGACACTATTTGAGCCCCTTCTCCACTTCTCCCATCACTGACGTATCCAAGACTGGCATCATTTCCTCCATTTTACAGGAGAGGAAACTGAGGTCCAATGCTTGTCCAAAGACTAGGGTTGCAGAAGTTCAAGGCAGAAAGGGACCTAAGAAAGCATGCCTAGTCTCAGATTGGGGGCTCTGGTAGCGTAGTGCCTAAGGCATATGACCGCTAACCAGAAGGCTGGCAGTTCAAAACCACCAGCCACTCCTCGGAAAGAAGCTTCCGTAGTGATACCGCCTCATAACAACTAGTCTCAGATCACTCCCCCATAAAAACCAAACCCAAACTCACTGCCATCTATCTAGTCCAATTGGGTTTCCAAGGGAGTGAAATGTTTTCTTCCAAGAAGTGGCTGGTGGGTTTGAACCACCAATCTTCCGGTTAGGAGTCAAATGCTTTAGGCACTGTACCACCAGAGCTCCTTTCACTCCCCACAGGGTGCTGGAATTTCCTCTCTGGCCCTTGGATCAGTCAGGCTTGGTTGGCTTTTATGCCTCCAGGGACCTGGAGTTCACCCCTTCCAGCTGGCAGGGACTAATCAAAGGTAAATGTTCCAAGACCAGACCAGCACTCCCTCCATAGCTTGTGACACCTGGCACACAGCAGGGACTCAGTCCCCATTAACTTACTGGGGACAAATGACAGTGGTCTACACTTTACAGGTCACCTTAATTTCACAGTCCGTTTCCTCATCTGATCCAGGGAGGCAAGGGTTAATGCTTATGCCCTGGGGATAGGAAAACTGGGACCTCAAACAGTGCAGGGCCCGGAACCCAGGTGCAGCTCACCCAATCCAGCCTGCCTGTTGCTCTCCAAATCTGGAGTTTATGGATTGAGCTCCAGCCGAATTTTCCAATCCCCATTGTACCGACGGGACTACTGAGACCAGGGAAACGCGGCCAGGTCCGGGGCCCCAGACGGCAGCGGCGCTGACCTCCATACTCACCTTCGGCCATGGTCAGGCGGTTGGCGATAGTTTGTCAGGCTGGTGGCGGGATCCTTGGAACTCAGACCGCTAGCCGCGAGTATTGCGGGGACCCAGCGCAGCGTTAACTTATAGCCCTCTTGGGGGCGGGGACGGGAACGAGGCGGGGGCGGGGCTGCTCGCGAAGGGCTGGAGAAGCCACTCATTGCCAGTCTGCAGCCCACGCCCACGTGAGGCTGGGGCGCACCCAGGGGGCAGCAGTCAGAAGGAGGGATCGATAGCCTTGCAAAGGCGCCCCCTGGGGGAGCGGACAGGGCACAGGGCTGGGACAGGGCCAGGAACACATGATTCGACCAGGATACAAAGACAAACCTGGACACACAGAGAGACATGGAGACACCTGGAGCCAGAAACACATACAGACACCCTCAGACACAAACAGACATGGACACTCAGACCAGGACACACAGGCCCATCCCAGTGCACAGACATGAACCCACAGTCAGAGCTGGGATCACACGCACAGACACACACACACATGTGCAGATACATACGAAGCAAACACAGACACACTATCAGAGACATGGAGACACACTTGCACACAGATACAGCAGACAAATCTGGACACGCAGACCCAGTGACAAGGTCACAAAATCAAATTAGAGACACAGCCAGACACACAGAGACAGGTGTTTATTTGGACAGATGTCCAGATGCAATGGGACTCACATACACACACAGACAGACCTCACAGACACCCACACATGTCAGATGTGGTAGAGATGAACATGTCATTTCAAATGGAAAAGGGAGGACATGTTCATATCCATGTACCCAAAGACACACCAAGATGCTTATATTCAGAGACAAACATACATGCACATGCATACTTATGTATAGACGTGCAGACATGCTCACAAAGACAGACACTTACACCTCTTCCCTGAATAAAACCCCAGATAATCCACCCATCCTATCATCCATCTACCCATCCATCCTTCCATCCACCCATCCATCCACACATCCACACATCCATCCACTCACTCACCCCTCTACCTACCCACCCTCCCATCCATCTACCTACCCACCCATCCATCCATCCATCCACCCATCCATCCATCTACTCACTCACCCCCATCCATCCACTCACTCATCCATCCATCCACCCACCCATCTATCCATCCATCTACCCATTCACCCATCCACCTACCTATCCATCCATCCATCCATCCATCCACCCATCCATCCATCCACCCATCCATCCACTCACTCTCTCATCCATCTACCTACCCATCCATCCACCTTCCCATCCATCCACCTACCTATCCATCCATCCATCCATCCATCCACCCATTCACCCATCCATCTACCCTTCCATCCATCCATCCATCCACTGACCTTCCTTGAAGCTCTCTGTTTGCCAGGAGGAAGCAAAGTCAACCTTCTAGGGACCCAGCCTCTGACCCCTTGAACCTGGCATTCCACCTCCCACCCTTATCCCTTTGGTTCCCAAATCCCCTGTGCTGTCTTTGCTCACAGTGAGGGCCTAAACAGGGAGGGTCCCTGGAGAGGCAGAGATCAGTGGGCCTCCTCCAGTCCCATTTCTGGAGCAAAGTTCCACAACTTTTGATGGATTTGGTCTATAAAATGGCACCAGTTTTCACTCCTATGTGACATAACTCAAAGAATAAACTCAATGTTGTTTAGCGAATGTTTGTCTCTGAGTCAAATGGGCCTTAGTGAATGAACTCGTGACTATAAGTCTTGGGCCCCTGCTGACTATAAAACAGTCCCATGGGGCAGGCACTGTTATTGTCCCATTTTATAGATGCAAGAAACTGCTACCTGCAGCTCAGAGAAAGGAGCAGTGTGATTGAATGTCAGTCAAGGGCCCAGGGTGGGGTTTCCACTCTGCCACTGACGAGCTGTGTGGCCAGAGAAGCAGGTGTTTCTGCTCTCCGGGTTTCAATTTTCCTCTCTGAAAAATGGGGGTAAGAATCCATCCCTCACAGGCCTAGATTAAGACGCAATGGAGATGACCGAGGTTGGCCACCTAGTATGTGGTGCATGCTCAGTAACAGGGGTCCCTGAGCCTCTGAGCTGAAGTGCCAAGTATCCCAGAACCCAGCCCTTTGGGGTGAAGGCCTCAGTGAGAACCAGTCAGCACATTCTCAAAGAGGACAATCAGTCTTCACGGAAAGAAGACTACAAACTGTAATGTTCCCACAAGTGTCAGCCCGGCCCCAGATTAAAGGATGGATTTTGTCTTTGTCCATCCTTTTCCATTTGAAAATGACATGTTCTTCTCCATCTGGTATTAATTTTCCTTTGTAACTCCCAGCCTGGGACTCCTTGGAGGACAGGAATCCACTCCAATCTTTATCCTCTTTGTCACCATGGTGCCTGGCGTTGTACCTGGCTCACTGCCAGCTTCATTCAAAGGATTATCAATGTTCTTATCAGCAGCATCCCAGTTATTCTTATTGTTCTCTCCTCCCCAGACCTGGACATGAACCATCTCACCTAGTGGTTATGCAGACAGCCTTGGGTTCCAATCCCGCCTGCTTTGCCACGTAGGCTTGGGCAAGTCACTTAACCTCTCTGTGCCTCAGTTCCTTCATTTGTAAAATGAGGATGATGATGGTACCCCCTGCCCAGGATGGTGTGAGGACTGAGTGAGCTAATGCACAGAGTGTACTTAGAATAGCATACAGTCAGTGCTCAATGAATACAGACTGTGAGAAGAATCCTCATCATGTATTCCTGGTGTCCAGATGGGCTTCACACAGGGCCCTAAGCTCGTCCAGGACCCAGCCAGCTGAACCTCTTCTTCCTTCCTTTTCCCCATCCCACACAACTGTGGCCACCTGAGCGCCTTGAGTAAACCCAGGCCAAGGCCAGCCAGGGTCCGAGCTGGCTTCTGAGAAAGTGACCAGGTGGCCCTTGCCCTACTGTGGGCTTTGTCTTTCCCATCTGTCCTGTCTTTTCTTACCTTACTGGTCAAGTAAGGATTCAAAACCTCATTTTACTGAGGGGGAAACTGAGGCCTAGAAAGTGATTATGGGCTCAAAGTCCTCAGGCAGTGCAGGCAGGGACCCTTCCAGCTCTGGGTCCAGTGTCATTCCATGCAGAGGAAGAGCTGTGCAATGGTTAAAGCAGGGTTTTATGGTCCTTGTTGGCTGTGTGGCCCTGGGCAAGTTACTTGGCCTTTCTGAGCTTGAGTTTCCTTCTCTATAAAATGAATATAATGATAGTCTCCACCTCTGAAAATGTGAACGCCTGAATAGTGTCCGACATCAAGTAAGTGTTTAATAAGTGTTGCCTCATACTTTTTTATGATGATAATGATGACATCAAGACTCAGGACTTCTCCTTCTGAAGGGGAGGCAGGTTGCAGATGTAGGAGGGACTCAGAAGGACTCCCTGACTCCCCAGTAAGTCTTGCATTCAGGGTCACTGATGCCTGGAACCTCACCATTTGGGAGATGCAGTGCCTAACTTCCATAAGGATCCAGGCCCCAAGATGGAGACAAAGATGAACTTTTAGAACCTTTGGAATAACCCATTACCAGCCAGATGTCCCACTTAAATCTCAAATATGAGTCTGTCATTTGTTAAATGAGGAACTGGGCTCAGAGAGGTGAAGTGATTTGCCTAGAGTCACACAGTCAGGAAGTAGGGGAGCAGAATCTGGGGCTGCCTCCAAACCTGCCCTTCCCTGGAGTGGAGCAGGGGTTCTCAGAGGCCTGGGCCACATCCATTTCAGCCCTCGGTATGAGGCTTCCAAGGGCTCCATCTGTGCTTCAGACCTGTGGTGTCTGGTGTCCAATGGAAGCTCAATAAGTGTTTGTGGCATGGGAGAGGGAGTTGAAGAGAAATTGAAAGGAAGGAAAGGAGAAAGAGAAGGAAGATATGGATTAAAGTTCAGAGAAGTTGGGAAAACTGTCTGAGGTCACACAGCACGCCTGAGCCATTTCCCAGGGACGAGAAGCTTCAGGCAGGGGATGGCCCTGGAGGGCTGAGCTGGGAAGAGAAGGGTGGGGACAGCAGTGGGTGGACCATGATGGGACATTTGGAGGGCTCAGCTTTTTGACCGACTGTGACTAAAGGAGGATGAGCAGTGTCTGGCGAGAGGGAACCCAGGGAGGGCAGAGCCAGACTGGGTTCTGAGCTGGGCTGGGGTGGGGTAGGGATGTTAGGACAGGGGACTAAGGGAAAATGTCAAGGGCCAGGCGTGACCTTTCAGGCACTTTGAGAGTGACAGTGGCGGGTAGCCTGCCCAGCTGGGACAGGACCCAGGAGTCCCAGCCTGTGAGGGGGCAGAGAACAAGGCATCTGTCTGGGGAGGGGCTGCCCACGTTGCCCGTGTGGCCATTTTGCAAATGGAGAAACAGACCTGTCCATCTTGTGCCCATTGGCAGCCATTGCCTTCAGCCAAAGCTAGCTTTGTCCTCAGCTCCCCTCCACACAATGTGTCACTTCCCAAGTGCAGTCCATCCCCCGCTCCACACTGCCCCTGCACTTGGCGGAGGGGTCACTGGATCAGAATTCCAATCCTGGTTGTGCCATTGAAACTCTGTGGCTGGCGGGCACCTTTTCCACCTTTTGGAGGCCTCAGCTCACATTTCTGTAAAATAGGAATCACATCCCAGACCTCATGGGGCTGGAGTGAAGGTGAAAGTAGCCTCTGAGACAGCTGAGCTGGTCCCTCCCTTGCTTCAAGCGCCTTCCACTCAGGAAAAGCCGTGAGATCTTCTGTTTGGCATTTGATGCTCTGTATGTTGGACCCAGGAGCTCTGGTAGCATAGTGCCTAAGGCACTTGACTGCTAACCAGAAGGCTGGCGTTTCAAACCCACCAGCCACGCCTCAGAAGGAAGGTTGGGCAATCTTACTTCTGTAGTGGTACCGCCTTGGAAACCCAAGGAGGAGTCGCTATGAGTCGGGGCCGACTCGCCGGCACATAACAACAACATGTTGGACACAACTTACCCTCCAATTGCACCCCTATAGTCATACCCTGCAGCCACACC